TTAGTTTCATTTTTTCTGCACATAGCTATCCAGTTTTCCCAGCACCATTTGTTAAAAAGGCTGTCTTTTTTTCCAAGTTATATTTTTGGCACATATCAGATGGCTATAGGTGTGTGAATTTGTCTCTGTGTTTTCTATTCTGTTCCATTGGTCTTCATGTCTATTTTGATGCCAATACCATGCTGTTTGTTACTATAGCTCTGTAATGTAATTTCAGATCGGGTTTTGTGATGCATTCTGCTTCCATATTTCTTGTTTAGTGTAGCTTTGGCTCTTCTTCTCTCTCTTATTCTTCCAGATGAATTTAAGAATTGTTTATTCTAATCATGTGAAGAATGTCACTGATATTTTGATGAGGATTATATTGAATCTGTATTTTGCTTTTGTTAGTATGGCCATTTTGACAATATTGATTCTGCCTGTTCAAGATAATAAGATGTCTTTCTAACATCTTCAATTTCTTTCTTCAGTGTTCTGGAATTTTTATTGTAAGCCCTTTTACATCCTTGGTTAGATTAATTCTGAAGTTTTTTTTTTTTTTGAGGTTACCCAATAGGGTTTTGAAACTCTGGATTTGGATGCTAAGCTGGGTGCTTATATTATCTCCCATTGCAGGGAAGACTTGAGAAGAGAAGCACTAATGAATCAATCCTTCACCTTCTTTTTAAATTAAAAAAGCTATCCACATTTAGTTTAAAATAAAATCCTTATTAACTTTGAATTTTTGTTTTAATATTTATTTTTTAAAGTATAGATGGACACAACACAATGCCTTTATTTTTAAGTGGTGCTGAGGATGAAACCTGGGCCCCACTGCTGCTAGGGGAGCACTCTACCTCTTAGCTACAACCCCAGCCCATTACCTTGAATTTTAATCTTAGCTCTTTTAGGGTAAACATACAACCTAGCTGACTCCTAATGCTAACAAATCCTCTTTTAGGATTGTCTTCCTTTTCTGTATTTCATCAGGGGACATGGAGTTATGGGAAACAAGGTATTTTCTAAAAAAGAATTTTCAATTGTAGATGGACACAACACCTTCATTTTATTTATTTATTTTTATGTGGTGCTGAGGATTGAAACCAGTGCCTCATATGTATGAGGCAAGTGCTCTTCCACTGAGCCACAATCTCAGCCTCCCAAAAAGGTATTATTTGTTAAGTGCCATCCCTCTTGTGAATGCAGGCCACTTGGTGTGAAATTTGCATATACTGTCTGGAGCTTGAATTATATTTGGTGGCCTCTGGCTCCCTCTAGTGATAAAACATCTCAGCCTGATATTTTATGGTAGCTTGATGTTATATTTGACGTGATTTTTTAAAAAATATTTTTTTTAGTTGTAGATGAACACAATAACTTTTGAAATTTTATTTATAAATTTTTATGTGGTGCTGAGGATCAAACCCAGTGCCTCACATATGCTAGGCAAGCACTCTACCACTGAGTGATAACCCCAGCCCTTGGCATGATTTTTGACCCAGTGAGTAGGATTGTCCTGAGCTTGTTAGCTCAGGGTCCAGAAAAACTAACCTGTATCTTTGACTACAGGGAGCTGGATGGCATTTCTTTAGCAGTAGGTCAAGTTTAGGCTTCTGGTGAGAGAGTTCAAGGTATGTGTTTCCCTGGTCTTCCATTTTAGTAGTCCTGACCTGGAGGAGGTCAGAGTTCTGTTATCATCATGGTTTGGGATTTTTGCACAGATTTCATCATATTTCATGGTAATTATAAAGGATATAGTGGGGGCATCGTAATATTGTTTTCTCCCAATTTTTCTAACCACCAGTGAAAACAGCCAGAGAGAGACTGGATTGTGTCTTGTTTTACAACTAGTCCTTCAAACTACATAAAACATCTTTTCCCTCCCTTGTGGGGATTTCTACAAGCCTAAATATTTTTTATCTCTTTCCCAATGAGTAGGGGAAATTACTTCAATACTTTGGATCTAGTTATTTTCACAGGACAATGTCCTTCTAGTACAGAGAGCATCCAGGGAGATTGATGTACTTGCAGATATCCCACCTGCTCAACCATCTTTTGGTCACCAGGAGTGATTGCCTGATTTTGTGACCCACAGGCTGAGATGCATAGTGTCCTTGTGGCCAGTCAGAAGCTTATGATATTGGACTCTTAAGCTATATTCTGTGCTTCATTTACTTTAACTGAGTAATCAGATCAGAAAGTTCAGTTCTTTTTTTTTTTTACTTGCGAAGAATCATTTAGAAAAAATAAAACTCAACTTTCTAAACAGTCCTTTGTCTTGGAATGTTGGTTTTAATTGCTGCAGCCCCTACCTCTACTGTCTTCTAACCTTTCAGGAGGTTTCCCATATGGAAAATACTAAAACTAATGAAGGATGGTCATGTTTGAAAAATATGACATTAGGGCCTTTGAGGATATGAGTCAATGTTCATCTTTTGTGAGGCTATTTCTGAAGTCAGAAGTTTTCCACTCAGAGACATTATGAGAGGTATGGAAAGATGAAAGGTGACATGATGATTTCCTTTATTTCAATGAAATTTGGGCAAAGGGAAGTAGGTGAAAAGGGAGAGAGCTAAATGGTCAACCTCACTCTTTTACCATATGAAGCTTATAGGGAAAGCAAAGTCTACAGGAAAAGTGACTCCCTTCTTTCTGGTGTGCAATGCAGGCTACATGAGCTCTTGGACATGTGACATTTTACTAGAGAAAAACCTGAGGCATTTGCAAGGGTGTTTTCATTTAATTCCAACACCTTCTGAGGTTGATTTCTTTTATAAATACTGCTGTGTAGGCTTTTATAACAACTATCCTGACTTGAATCTCAGTAGTCCTAGTAGACCTTGTACTCCATATTGCTTGCTGGATAGGAGAGAGTACTTCCATCCATTTTTTGTCCTACCCTCCAGTGATCCTCCCAAATAAATCTGAGTTTATACTTGCTGATATCTATCCCATCCAATGTAATTCTGATTTGAATTGGCCTAATCCACAATTGGACTGTTTGGTCACAATACTCACCCTATGCTTTTCCCTGTGTCATATGGCTATTTGTATTATGCAAGACCTAATGCCTGAAGTCTCCATCCATTAGAAACTGACGATGTGGAATGGAGTGGAGAGGGTGAACCTCAAAGCCTCAACAGAGTCAGATGTAAAATATTAGACTTTGTTCCACAAGAAGGCAGTGTTCTCAAGAATTCTTTAATAAAGATCTCCCTAACTCTATCAGTCTTAAGTACTGTGGAGAATTGGGAAGGTTTGTGAAGGATTTCTTAATAACCCTCCCCATTCTCTTTAGATTTTATTTGGCTTCATGGGGTCATAGATGAGTGAGGTTTTTCTATATACCCTGAACTATCTTCCTAATGCTATCTCCCATTCCCACTCTCACATTTGTTTCTGGAAGATGATATTTTCATTTTGGTTTGAGTTTTAGATAAATGACAGCAGCAATTTGGAGATAACCCCACCATTTCAGGCTGTGTGTTATTGTGCTCTATTGTTGGATCCATCAGGGTTGTCAATCAGGGTTGAGTCAGGAGACAAACAATACCAGTAATTTGAACAGGTAACTTTTATTATTAAGAGTTGTTAACTTGTGAAAAGGATGAAAAAGGACTGTAAGAAGTTCTCTATTGGTCAAATCAGAAAGCAGCTACAGACTCTATGCCAGTGAAGGAATAAAAACTCAGGAGAGGGACTCCACACAAGGCTGAGATTCAGGTCTTTTCTAAGGAGATGGCTTTGCAAGGATATGCGGCATGCTGGGGGCAAAGAAACTTGTCTGAGAATGTGAGCCAGAGCTAATCAATAGAGGCAAGCGATTATTGCCAGAGGGCATAGGTCAGTGTGGGAAAAGAATGGCCTGTCACTGCTGGAGGGTGTGGGTGGGCTGAAGAAGATGTGTGAGAGCAGCTTCTGGGGTGGCGTTAGAATTGCCTGAAGGTGCAGCAGGAGCTGGTCTGGAGAAACAGAAGCCAGGAGCTTAATGTTTGAGTTAATAATTTTTCCTCTACCTTGTCCCTCTAGGGGTCTAGAAAATAGAGTCCTGGGCTAAGCAGATGCCTTCTTTATGAATACCCTATGGAAAGGGAAGGGAATGTTTCATAGTCAGCAATCTGTTGCTACTACAATAGGATTTTGGTGGCCAAGGACTAAATTATAGTTACAGGTTAGGATATTGGGTGCTGAGATTTGGGAGGCCAGAGTTGCAAGTAAGGCCAGAGAAAATTTTTCTACCAAAGAAAGGCCCAGAAGTATGGAACCAAATTCCAGGACCTAGGAGGAAGTACTTATTGTGGATGAATGTCTCTAGTTATGCCAACTGAGTAGCTCTTATTCTATGAATGCAGTGGGTGGCTTCTTGGGGTTGAGGTGCCCTTCTGGCAATTATCAGCCACCTGGCAGGTTGGGGGTCTTCAGGCAGGCAGTGGGTGTTAGCAAAAATAACCAAAACTGTTTTGGCACCTTATGAATGCACAAATAACTGGGATGGAAGCAGATTTCAAACGGATCAGCAAGCTTTCTTTTATTCCACAGGGGAGTCAGTCAACAAGGCACCAGAGGGGCTCTCTTTCTAGGTAGAAAATGTCTGCTGTTACAGAAGGGCTCTGAGTTTTCTAGGTTATAATAAGAGTGAATAAATCCTTGGAGACTGAAGCAGAATGTGTCAGTTTGGGCAGTCAGGAAAAAAGGTAAAAAATCCAAAACATTGTGATATGAGTACCAGAAATATTATAGGATTACTGACTGTTGATTATATTAATTAGTACGGGTGAGGGAGAAAAGACTATAAGCAATATGACTATGATATAATGTGAACTGCAAAATTTAGGTCAACTGCAGAACTCAGGTAGACTTAAGTTAGTGATGTAAGAGTCTGCACCTGGTGTGTACACCCCAGACCTAACCCTGTTATTGGCTGCAAGCACAACTGAACTAGGACTTAAAAACCCAGACTTCTGGGGGGTGATGGGACTAACAGGACCTGGAAAGAGAGACCGTTGTCCCTTCTGTACCAGACTCCTTTGGCCCGGATCGAGTTCCAGCGACCTGGACTTAAAACATGACACAGGTGAGCATCTGGGACCCTTGGGTGTATACTCAGTTAGACTTAAGATGTGTGGGACTGGGGCTGTGGCTCAGTGGTAGAGTGCTTGCCTCGAATGCAAGAGGCACTGGGTTCGATTCTCAGTACTATATAAAAATAAATAAAGATACTGTGTGTTCATCTACAACTAAATATATACATATATATTAAAAAATCTATTAAAAAAAGAATTGGGATGTGTGTTTGAAGTGTGATGAGCATCAGGAAAATAGGTTTGATTGAATCTAACTGTGCCTCAAACTGGGTCAATAATAACCACTGGTGACACATTGTTCCTGGCAAAAAATGAAAGCTCAGAACTTGGCCAGAGTTTACTGTTCATCTTCTTCCTCTGGGACCCATTGTGTTTGCTTTTGGTGGAGATGCTGGTGATCGAACCCAGGAAGGGATTTTTTTATCTTTATTTTTTTTATTTATTTTTATGTGGTGCTGAGGATCGAACTCAGTGCCTCATAAGTGCTGAGTGAGTGCTCTACCACTGAGCCACAACCCCAGCCCCAGGAAAGGATTTTTTTTTTTTTGGCTCTTTTTCCTTGGGACCCATTGTTTCTGGGAAAGGATTTACTGAGAAAGGATTAATTATTGCCTTCTTCTTTCCTCTTCTTTCAGTCAGGCAGTTGAGGGTAGTCATTTCCCTGTCCTGGGGGTTATCATTTTCCATATTTTTTAGTGGAAATTACTGCTCTACGGAGTTACTTCTTACTGTGATCCTAAATCAAGCCACCCCACACTAGCTACAACAGGAAGGGAGAACTGCAGGGGTCCTACTTTGGGCATCTCCAAGGCATTGAATCTTTCTTAGAGAGAATGGGCCCTGGGGCGGATTAGGAGAGAGAGAGAAACCCTTGTGAGATAGGGAGGTTGGGTTGGCTTTTCCTTCTTTTCCCACAATCTAGGCTGTACATGGTCTGCAGTTTGCTTGGCTTTGCCACCAGGTGTCATCATCTACTTGTGCGGAAGAAGGAAATTGCTCCCTAGACTAGAGAATGAAGGAACAGGGCAGTTGCAAAGAGCTGTGAGTGGTGTGCTGGAGGCTTCTTACAAGAAGATTCATGAGAACTGATGACCAGCTCTGTGATCAGTGGGGCACCTTGGTAGCTTGACATCAGTTGTGATGGGAATCTTTCACATCATGGAAATAAGCAAATGATACAGATTAGGGCTTCCTATCCCCTACATGCACTCTGAGTTGGTAAACATTTACCAGCACACCACTGTGCAGAGTGACCATTTAATGACACTGATTGAGAAACTTGGGCAGTGCTGTGGTTTGATTTTAGTTTCTCCCCTCCAAAACTCATGTTAAAATTTAATCCCCATTATGAAATATTAAGAGGTGGGACTAGGTGGGACCTTTATGAAATTATTAGACTCTGCCCCAACAAATATATTAATCCATTCTTGTGATTAATGGATTATCTCAAAATTGGGCCACTCTAAAAGCCAGTTTGGATAAGTCACATACATGCTCCCAGTCTCTTACCATATGATGCACTGCATACTTCAGATCTTTGCCAGTAACAAGCCTATCGCCAGATGTAGCTCCTTGATCTTAGATCACAACCATGAACCAAAGTAAACGTCTTTCCTTTTTAACTTATCCAGTCTGTGGAATTGTATTGTTAGAAACAGAAAATAGACAGAGAAAGGCAGATTATGAATTAGTCACAGAACTGGAAAATAATTTTGTGTGTGAAGCAGAGCATTAGAGAAAACAAGCAAGAACAAGTTTCTGCCCTTGGTCCAGATAGAAGAGGGAGATTTGACACCTAATTGCAAAGGAGAGTTTACCTGGAGTGTAGCAAACATTTTCAGCTTTGCCTGCATTATTTGAGAACTATGAGGGAGGGCCACAGAAAGAATTGTGTAGTTGATGAACCCTACAACCTAATTCCATCTCAAGATTGGGAGCCATCTCATCACAAAGTCATGAAAAGTTCATTTCTGTTTTAATATTTCTATTTGGCCTGACCATATCCTGATGTTTAAACTTTTTTGAAATTCCTGCCCATGCTCTGAACTCATGCCTGGCTCTCCTTGACCAGATAACAACCCTCCCTAAAACCTCAGTGGCGCCACATAAATTCTGATGTTGGAATCTCACTTTACTCCCTACCTTGAAATATTAAGCCATATAGATCATTAACCTGCTAACTGCCTTTGTATTATGCTTGCCAGAATCCTGTTAGCTGTATGTTCCCAAGACATCCCCTTTGTAACTTTTTCGACTATAAAAACCTTTCTTCCTTGGAGAGCTGTTGCTACTCTCTAGCCAGGCTTTTGGGTGAGACACTGCTGGTCAGCTCTCTTGTGCATACAATTTAAATCTGCTTTAATTTGGTTTAAAATTGGAGTTGGTGGTCTTTTTTTTTGTCTCACAGGTTCAACATAGTGACCATGGAAAAACCTGACGATATCAAGAGTGATAACAACTGAGAGAAATAGGATTCCTACACTGCTGTCAGGTTGTGAATTAATGTGGCTACCCTAGAAAGCATAAAACTGAAAGTGTGCTTTACTTTTGACCCAGCAGTTCCATTGTTGGATATTACTTAAACTATCAGTATTATTTGCTAACTGCTACATCATTTGTTGCAAAAAACCTCCTAAATTCCTAGTTCATACCATATATGACATAAAACCATCTATATAAATTTCAAAACTCAGAAACAAATTAAAATTCTTAACACAACTTATCATTACCTGTTATTATTTTTTTATTGTATTCTTTCCTTTCTTAAATGTAAGCTCTATGGGGTCAAGGACATTGTTGCATTCACTTCTGTGTCTACTTCTGTTTCCATACTTCTCATGGGAAAGTCGGATTGTACATCTACTTGGGACATCAGTATGGTGGTTGCTTGAAAAGTTAAGCAACTATCATATGATATAGTCACTCCACACCAAGGTATTTATCCAAAAACACCATATCGCTGTACAAAGACTTGTTCACAAGTTTGTATTAGAAAAATCCTGGGCATATAGTAAGTGATCAATAAATACTTGAATGAATGAATGAAGGGATGGATGGATGAATGAATGGTTGAGAAGGGAAAAGAAGTAATCTGAGAGGATGCTGGGTAACAGCAGCCAGCACTTGGCAGGGCAGCGTGAGCTAGAATTAGGCTAGCAGATCTTGTGTCTCCTTGCTAGAGGGTGTGGACCAGGACTGGTTCATAGAAGTGGAGGGGTGGGGTGAGAGTCTGGAGCTACCTAGTAGTGGCTGCCAGGTGATCAGAGTGGGGTCTGAACATTATGCTGGAACTCACATTATGCTCAGTCAGGATTCCTGAGGTGTAACGGGACTATTCAAAAGTCAAACTTTGGTCTCCTGTGCTGCATATAAAAGAAGGTAAGCAAGGAAGTACCTTCTTGTTGCTATGGCCTTGAAGTGTCCCTTTACCTGCAAAATCTAACATTGCACCAGATAGCTACATTACGGGCCAGGTTTGTAGGACTATGCAAGGCAGGAGGAATTGGAGCTGAGGTATTAAATTGATAACTGGCACAGTCGATCCATTTTTTAACTCAACTTCTGTACTTATCTTTCTATACACATTTGAACTTTTGAACAACTACAAAACCATTCTGTGTTTCCATTTAATAAGACATCTATCCCTTATCCAAAGAAGTTCTTACCCTCTCCCCCAAATGAAGAGACACATGCTCCCAGGAACCATTGCATCCACAGCTAACAATATTCATTTCTCCTCAAATTTGATTACAGAACTGTGATCTTATTCTGTCATCAATTTGTAAGTAAAATAATAGTGATAAGAAGAAAACATGCTTTATAAATACAAACACATGCAAATACTAAGCAGAGAAAAAAGTGTGCAAAGTTACTATAATTCTCCTTTTTAAATTGATCGTGAATAAGTTTGTCAGATAAAATGTAGGGCACTTCATCAAATTTTAAGTATAAATACATCCCTGATAATTACAGAGGATGTACACTTAAAATGCTATTTATTGTTTATCTGAAATTCAAGTTTTACTGAAAATTTTTTATTTACTGAATTTGGTAATCCTAATGTCTCATTTATTTTCTCTTGCTAATGAGACATTACCACAGATTGGGTAAATTATAAAGAAAAGTGGCTTACTTTAGCTCGTGGTTCTGGTCCAAGGTCAATGGGCTGCATCTTGTGATGTCTTTCTTGCTGGCACAGTTCTGAAGTTGCACAGGGGATTACATGATAGGAGACAGAGTGTGCCTGAGACCTAGCCAAATAGGATTTTATAGCAACCACAAAATCAAAAAAACTCATTAGCCTATTAATCCATTAATCACATGAATGGATTAATCCACTTGTGAGGACAGAGCCCTAATCACCTCTTAAAGCTCCCATCTCTTAAGATTTCACAAATGGGGATTAATTTTCAACATGAGTTTCAGAGGAAAAAAACCATGTTCAAACAATAGAACCTGATTCTTAGTGGACAATTATGGCTTTTTTCCTCTGCCACCTATTT